AAGGAAGCTGAATCCGTAGCGGGGTTCCAGTAACCAATATCAGTTTCTTACATCGCTGACAAATGGACTGGAGCCTCAGATCCAGCTTGCGGTCGACGGGCGTGAATGGTTGGTGGGCTGTCGTGGTAGCTGGCGCCGCCATGCTTTGGTCTTTGGCGCACCATTCCTACTGCATCCTATTGTTTGGTTAGTGACAGTAAGGCTTGTTAACGCAAGCCGCTGGATGTGCACCGCCATCTATCGCCTGGCCCAGCCTCCGTGCTTGCGTGACTTATGAATGGTATGCAGGTTAAGAGCTTGTCATTCAAATGGCGTGTGGTCTTCCTTGACATCTATCGCTGGCGGCTGAAAATGGCATTGGTATAGAGTGCCAATGGGTAGTGTTTAAGTTTGTCGTGTTCGGTCTTTTAGATTTTGAGATATCTTTGAAATCCACGCAAGCATGCAAGTAAGCAAGTTTGCAAGCATCCAAAGGTCAGAAATGGCTCTGATTAATGCAGCTAGGTTGTACAGTCAGCACTTATCACCATGATATTCATTATGACAAAGCCTCAATGATTTTGTGGATATATGTCCTATGAAAGCATACTCTTGAAACGCACGTGGGCCGTCGCCGTGCCATGTCGCACTGACGTCTCTCTCTGCGCCGTGCCACGTCGCGCTGACGTCTCTCTCTCTCTGCGCCGTGCCATGTCGCGCTGACGTCTCTCTCTGCGCCGTACCATGTCGCGCTGACGTCTCTCTCTGCACCGTGCTATGTCGCGCTGACGTCTCTCTCTCTCTCTCTCTCTCTCTCTCTCTCTCTCTCTCTCTCTCTCTCTCTCTCTCCTCTCTCTCTCTCTTCTCTTCCCTCTCTCATCTCTCTCTCTCTCTCTCTCTCTCTCTCTCTCTTCTCTCTCTTCTCTCTCTCTCTCTCTCCTCTCTCTCTCTCTCTCTCTCTCTTCTCTCTTCTCTCTCTCTCTCTATCTTCTTCTCTCTCCTCTTCTCTCTCCTCTCTCTCTCTCTCTCTCTCTTCTCCTCTCTCTCTCTCTCTCTCTCTCTCTCTCTCTCTCTCTCTCTCTCTCTCTCTCTCTCTCTCTCTCTCTCTCTCTCTCTCTCTCCTCTCTCTCTCTCTCTCTCTCTCTCTCTCTCTCTCTCCTCTCTCTCTTCTCTCTCTCTCTCTCTCTCCTCTCTCTCTCTCTCTCTCTCTCTCCTCTCTCTCTCTCTATCTTCTCTCTCTCTCTCTCTCTCTCTCTCTCTCTCTCTCTCTCTCTCTCTTCTCTCTCTCCGCTCTCTCTTCTCTCTCTCTCTCTCTCTCTCTCTCTCTCTCTGCGCCGTGCCATGTCGCGCTGACGTCTCTCTCTGCGCCGTACCATGTCGCGCTGACGTCTCTCTCTGCACCGTGCCATGTCGCGCTGACGTCTCTCTCTGCGCCGTACCATGTCGCGCTGACGTATCTCTCTGCACCGTGCCATGTCGCGCTGACAGCGGATCCAGGGCCTGTACCGACCCGAGTACAACGAAGCCATCCTGGGGCGGATCACACCAGAGGAAGAGGATCGCGGCGTCCCGCGCACCCGGACGCGCTACACCGACCCGCCGCCCAAGTATACGCCGCCTCCCAGCTACAGCACGGCCACCGGTGCCAGGTCAGTCGAAGATATGTGAGCCCACAGGCACGGTCGAGTCAGTGCACCATTCCGAAGCATCGTTCGGGCTCATACAAGCGCATAGCAGTGGGGTAGATTTTAGTACACTAAGCAATGTCACGCCGAGTGTAGCAACTTAATGGCTCTCCCTGAGTACGCCACGGGTCTGACGCTTCGCTTTGGACGCCGCGCTGTGCTGGGCGGACGGGGCACCCGCGCAGACGTCATCCTCACGCGCAACACTGTCTCCAGACTGGCCAAGATGGTGCGTCAAAGCGTGCGTCGCTCCATGCGCCACGTGCGCCAGCTGGCCTCGCCCGAACGCGGTGCGGCGGCGGCCGAGGCGGGCCAAGCTGCCGCCGCCACAGGCAGCCGCACCGTGCCCGATGAGCCGCCACCCAGCTACGCCTCGTTGCTGCTGGAGACGCTGCCGGCGCCGCTGCGACGCTCCGTGCGCCGGCTGGGCAGCTCGCTGCGCCGGCCACCGCCACCGCGCCGCCGCCGCCGCCGCCGGCCGCCTCGCCGCAGACGGCGCTGGACGGCGGCGAGGCCGGCTGGGCGGCGCGGCCGGCGCCGCTCGGCCACCAGCGCTCCTTCAGTCTGGGCCCGCTGCGCTCACTGCCGGGCGAGGGCGGCCCGGCCGGCTCGCGCAGCCTGCCGCGTGACTGACGCCCGAACAGGTGCGCGAGGTGCTCCGCTCTGGCCGGCTCAGCCTGCCGGAGAGCGCGGCGCCGCGCCAGCTGACGCCGGACGAGGTGCGCCAGGTGCTGAGAGGCGGCCGCGTCACCCGGCCGCCGCTCGTGCGGCCCGGCTCCCGAGCGGACAGCGTGCTCGAGACCACGCTTACCGAGGAGGAGGTGCCCGTCGAGACGGAGCCCGACGCGGCGTGATGACGGCTGCCGGAGGGTACCTGGCCGTCGGCCAGGGCGCCGCGCCCCACTTCGGGCGCCCTCTTCACGGGGCTGTGTCATAGTCGCACTCTCAAAGCGCCACAAGACTTTGGAGTGTTCGCCTTTGTGACGGCAACGGGCCACATATTTCTGAGGACCCCTTTGTGCTGGTGTTTAAGTGCGGGTGGTGAACTTGGGAATGCCGGAGTTTAGACGTCAGCCAGCGCACCGATTTATTCGACTGGTGTCATAAGACTGAGGGCGCGTGGTTCTATGAACGCTGTGCTACGAATGAGACCCTTTCTTGCGTAATAATCAAGCATAAGTACGTCAGAATGATGGTGCAGGTTTACAGAATAGATTTCATATAAAAGTATAGCTGTCAGCTACCGATGATTTTTAGTGGGTGTTGCTGTTTTTTATTGTGCGCGAGGTGCATTTTGTGCATGGCAATTCAGTCAATGAACGTGAACGTTGGTTGCAATAATAAAAGATGAAAAATATCCGTCTTTCCATTATGCAGAATATCTACTAGTGGATGTAGATGGCTACCTGGAATTACTGCGCCTTCCAGAAATTTTTTCCTGTCGGAGACAAACGTTGTGGACATGGAAAAGACATTTAGTCGCGCGTTATTAGGTGCGTTTCGACGCGTAACTGAGTTGAAGACGCGCTTGGAGGACGTGAGTGTATCAGGTGAGGTAAGAACAAGTGAGACGACGAATAGCGGAGAGAAGGAACAGGCGAATAGGGAAGAGAGTGCAAGACTTCATAAGCGGTTTTACCTCAGCTGGTTGGCTGTGGTAGAAGTAGTAAGTAGTAGTATCAAAAGTAGTAGTAGTAGAGTAGTCGAAGTAGTAATAGTAGTAGTAGTAGTAGTACAAGTAGCACGCAGCTGTATGTAGCTTGCCTCAGCTGCTTCTCAAAGTCAACAAGCAGCAGCACACATGCTATGCACCGATGGTCCAAAACAGCTTCTGGCCTTGAAAGGAATCCTCCGCATTTTGAGATATTGAAGCAAAGCATCACATATTTTGGAATAAGCCTCAGTTGCAACTGTTGGTATACCTCTAAGTGGAAAAGACTGATCCGTACAAAGCAATTTCTGTACGCAGTAAATGTTCTCCTCAATACGTCCTTGTTTGATTCATGTCATCGTATCTTGCAAACATTGACTGAGAGACAGCTGACGGCCCGCTTTATCTGGAAATTGTGCTCACGAACTGCCAGCTATCAACGACTCGAGAACGATATTTATTGTTGGCCTTCATTTTCGGACGGCCAATGGAATGACAGGATTCAACGACGTTATATGGCGTTATTATGACGTCGTGGATGCCTGGATGACCTTTCAATAATCACTCCGGAAAAGGCTATACATCTCCACGAGCGTTTAGCTCAGAAGCTTGAGAGGTTTAAGACAGGGCTGTGAACTGCACCGATTATTTTCAAGATTATTTCAGCCCAAACCCCTGTACAAATGTGGAACACTCCCTTTAACCACGGGTTCTCAGTTATAGCCTGCCCCTGCCTGGTTACTGCTTGCTCTAAGCTCCTGGGTATCTATGCAGATACGGAGAGAAGACCAAGGGGCTGTTGGGGTGTTTGAGGCGATCAAAGATCCTGCATTCAGTTGGCCTTAAGACGCGTTATGCAGCCAAGGATTTAAAAATCGATAATTGTCAATGGACAGCGAAAAGTCCGCAGTGATGTCGAGCCCTTATGCCGGCACGGGGCTCGGAGACGATGGGACGGAATGACGCGTCCCGGGATGGTCGGCGACAGAGCTCTGTAGGGAGGAAGCGCATCCCGCTTCCAAAGGTAGCAAATTCTAGGACAGCCAGCCGCGAACAGCGCCATTGTGACCTGGCGTTGAATATGCCGTTTGCAATCTGCCTCTGGCGACCCACGGGGTTCCTTCATCCCTCGCCGGTGCGCCGTACCGACTTCATGCCAGCTGTTAACCTTCCCTTCGAACATGGAGGCATATATGAGACTCGTCTGATGAAGAAGTGGGCGTACAGTTGATTACACATAAAGATGACTGGGTTCCTGTAATTTTCCGATATCTGCAAGAACAAAAAAAAAACGGATAGCAGCGTGAGGCAGCAGAGCATTCGGCACTAAAGCATTTTAATGCACCGAAGACCCCAAACGCTGCGCAGTGCGTACTTTCGACGAGTTTGATAAGCACCGTCGTCAAGAAACGCGGAGCCTGGAACGCCCTGCTATCTGGCGATAAACCATAACAAATCGGAACGCACCGTCTGGCAGATGTGTTTATGCTTGCTCCCAGTATTGCTGTACACTACATCACTGCGGCCAGGTAGGCCACTAAAGCACACCACCTCCCGCGCTGTTGTACACATATACAAAACCGATGTCAGGTCACTATGCATATTACCTCAAAGCTAACTTCCAGCCAAACTGACTTTCGTAAGCGTCCCTTTGCAACAATGAAATACACAAATATCTATCAGCCTCAAATATATTATCAAAGCGCGGGTAAAAAATCAACAAGCCCGTCACATCAAGCATTTCACCCCCACACCATAAACATCCTGAAACGTAACTGTGCGGTCACCTCTGTTCCAAAATAGCTAGGTGCCCACAACACTCATGGAATGGGTAGTGCACACCCGCAGCCCCTGCAATTCTCGCTGCGCTGACAACACACTCCTGCCCGCGGCTCGACCCAAGCGGGGGCGCGCGCCGTGGCTGCAGCACGCCACTGGGGGGACACATCGGTTTAGGTTCGGATTGCGGTCCGATCCTGCAGATCTGACGGCAGCACAGCCCGCACTGTATCCGGCCTCAGAAACCCTTCTTCTTTTGCGCGGCCTCCCTCTGCTTGGACACGATTAACATCAGAATGTAGGCGACAACGGCTACGCCAGCCACCACCTGGAGCGCCAGCATCCTGAAAACGGGCTCAGATGCGTTACCGCGCCGACGGAAAGCATACAACTGGCCGTGCCAGCCGTGCGTCAGGACTCGACTAGGTCGTGCATGTTGCCGAAAACGTGCAAGCTGTAAGACAAATTATATTAACACGCACAACATCGCAATGGCCATGGTTGATTAGAAAATGGGAAACGCGATGCAAATGACATTGGTTTCTTTAGTACTTCCGCACATAAGTATAACTTACCAAGAAGCTGGTGCCCTTTCGTGGGGTCGTTAGCTGGGTATATTTTCGCACAGAACATCACATAAGCCAACGTCACTCGCACAATACCAATGTCACTCGTACAATACCAACGTCACTCGCACAATACCAATGTCACTCGTACAATGCCAACGTCACTCGCACAATACCAACGTTACTCGCACAATACCAATGTCACTCGTGCAATGCCCCTGTGATTATCTGTACACGTTGCAGCTCAGTGCGCTCGAGCAGCTACAGTAATTGCAATGCAACGCTCATGATGGTAGTTGACTGCCAGTTTCTATGCGCCACGTGTCGCTCGTGACGCATCCCTATCACGAAGGTCACACTTTCTCCTTTTAAAGGGAGTAATCCCACTTGTTTCTACTTTTCACTTATTGTTACATCAAACGTATACCATTTGATCGGTAACACGTTTCACGAAATCCTTCCAGGTAGCTCAGAATCTTTATCTGAAGCAGCCGACCTTGGGGGTGAAATTTCATTTGACTATATCCTCACCAGTATGAAAGTAATACAATTCATTTGCCTCGCTTTTTCAAACGTGTGTATTCGGTAAAGTCTGAAGCGCACCGATGTGCCAAAATGTTTGTGTAAGAAACGCTATGAAAGTTAGACACACTCTATTCAGATAAGAAACAAAAATAAAGCTACTTTACCCGTGCATTCAACGAGACATACTACGGCTTGGATTACTCCCTTGTGGCGTCTGTCAACGCGGCTCTTCTCGAGGCGCATTTCGACTTTGGGAATGGGAGTCTCACACGACCCATGTGACGCACTGGTTCAAACTTCAACCAATGCGCTTCTCGGTAGCAAGCCCTTGCCCGGTGGTACAATCACAAACGTTTTTGCATTCACACCAGTGGAGTTGCGCATGCTACACGACGGCGGTCGTGACTGCAGGGAAGAAGCGTAGTGTTGCTACAAAGCGTTGACAACGTGATTTCAACTAAAAAATAATTAAAATGGATATGTTTATCATGCCTTGACAGTGCTGCAGTGACACTGTCCAGTGCTATAATTAGACTAACTAGTCCTGAGGTTTCACTACAGTATGTTTTTGAAATATGCCCCAAAGGCGTGACACTCCCTTTAACAAAGATTATAGTTGGTCTTTTATTCTCATGCCAGTTGTTCCCAAGCATCTATCTGTTAAGTTCTGTTTTTTTACATAATAACACACATTCAACACGTGCCCTCACCTGCGCATTCTAGGCGCGATAACTTAAGTTGCATTACTTGCATTGCTATACTGATTTTAGGAGATTTTACACGTGGGATATTTGTCTTCGTCAAAACTCCGATTTTGAAAAGATCGCAAACTGGTACCGCCCGCGCTGTGCATCTGTTAGCGCATTCGGATGCACGCCTTTCGTAAGCCAGTATCTTTACTCCGCTCCGTTTATCCCGTTCGGGACCAAACTTGTCTCAACCCGCATTCGTCACCTGCTGATGATCACGTGGTTTGAGAATGAGGTTAGAGTAACAACGAGCTCTGGAGCTCGAGCTGCAGACAGCACAGTTGATTCTCAACCCGTCTTTCAAACAGCACTGCAATTGGTCAGCTGGCAAAAATCTACCCATCTACCTTTTTACAGATTTGCTTTTTGTGACGACTTCTTCACGAAACCCTTTTAATGTTCACTGATAGCCGTAAAACTGGGCAGCCAAAGTTCGCTTATCAACGAGGACTTTGCGGGTCAACAGTTCTTTTTCTTGAACATCTGACCCCGAAATTGAAAATATGAAGTCATGGATCTGAACTACTGCCAGTGACGGGATCGGGGACGCCGATCACGGGACTGGCGCCCACAGCGGGCAGGCGGCGCCTGAACTCACAGCGGCGTCTGAGGCAGCTCCGGCACGGGCCGGCTCGGCGCATCCTTATACAGGCCGACGGCGAACGCGCTCAAGCTGGTCAGATCCAGCCTGCTCACGTCGTACGTGTACACAACGCCCTGCCGGAAACTGGGCACACAAGAACATCGTCAGCGCTGTCTCGCGCCCGCGGACCACTGGGGCGTCGAGCACACCTGACACACACAAGACTACCATGCAGATTATCAGAAACCGTAACAGGAGCCGAAGCTGAGCCAAGTCCTGGCAGCCTGTAAACTATATGCAGATAATGTAAATCTGCGACCAGCTCAACGTTCGTAACATGATATGGGCTGGATATAAAATATAATGAACGGTGATTTAAAGTATAAATTAAAATATAATGAAAAAACGGTGAATCAAATCTGGTTTAGAACTTATACATCCGCAGGTAAGCCACCGATCAACCATGCGTCAACAGCCGTCCGGTTGCTCACAACAGGATGGTCATCTGGGTGGGGGCGACGCCAAATCGTTTGGCCGTCTCTCGTCCGTCTGTCTCCGAAGAGACCTTGGCCACCATCACGCGGTTACGCAGCTTGGCCGCGACGCCCTGCAGGCGTGACTCCAGCGCCTCACAACGGTCGCACGACAAACCATGGCTGCAAGATGTGGACATAAATTAGCATAAATCAGCATGTTGACATGGCTGTAGATTTGACAGCACCACACATAAATATCTGCGCTATATAAATATATATATATATATATATATATATATATGTATATATATATATATATATATATATATATATATATATATATATATATATATATGTGTGTGTGTGTGTGTGTGTGTGGTGTGTGGTGTGGTGGTGTGTGCGTGTGTGCGTGCGTTGCGTGCGTGCGTGCGTGCGTGCGTGCGTGCGTGCGTGCGTGTGCGCGTGCGTGCGTGCGTGCGTGCGTGCGTGCGTTGCGTGGTGTGCGTGGGTGTGCGTAAAAGGTAGCGGCAGCAGAGAGCGCCGTTAAGACACACCACAATTCAAGCGGTGGGGAGCGGCTGACACACAACTAAAGCAGCGGGGAGCGGCTGACACACTCAACTAAAGCAGTGGGAGCGGCTGACACATTAACAACTAAAGCGGCGGGGAGCGGCTGACACACTCACAACATCACCAGCCAGTCGCCGGTGGTAGCGCCCGTCGAGGCTTGCGTCAGGTGCTCGAAGCTCGCGTCGTTGAGCGCCACTACGCGCGGCTCCCGGTGGTGGTGACGAACTCCGCAAACGCGTCACCACCAGCGGCCCTGGCGCCAGCACCAGCCCAACATGACGCCACCAGCAGTACAAATGCATAACACGCCACGATATAAGCCCCAGTTGCCCATCATACTTTTTTAAATGTCATCGCAATTTTAGGACTCCCACTCGACGAATGCACGCCCATTTGGCGAGCAGTAGCGCAACAGTGCGCAACTGTCGCAGTACGGACTAGCTGACAAATGAAAAACTAAGGCTGCGTCAATACCGCTAAAAATCAGGATAAAATGTGATCCTCCCACTGGAACCATAGCTCCAAATTTATTGCCTTAGAAATAAACAACAAGAAGGATTGACCTACCTCATAAAGCACAGGAGCATGCCCGACGAACATCACCAGGGCCGGTACCCGATCAGCGTAACGGCGGTATCTTCTCGTCCTGCACAGAGTACGCCTGCAGTCCAGAGATGGCCAGCAACTGAGCGCAGCTCGTCGCT